CCAACAGCATCTTTTAGCAACAATGTACATTTGCAGAAAATTGCAGACTGCAAGTGGTTTGTAAGAAAAACCCATGCAGTTTTGTGAACAAAATGACCTCTACCAAAAGCCAAACATCTTATTTCTTTCCTTGGATGTTGCGTATTCATAAACATTTACAAACGTGTCATTTCCCTAACAATGCATCCAAATTAATAATGTAGGTTTTGTGAATGAATGTACATACTTAGCACAGTCAGATGATCAGGATCTGCCTAACCAATTCCTTCTGCAGGCACAGTCTAGTACTTGCGGTCAACTCCATCTATATTTTTGTGACCCCAGTGAATTGTGGACAGATACTACCACGCTGAAATTTAAGCATCTGATTTTCAGGCACTCAAACAGCTGGGGTCCAAAATGGTAACTTTGGTGCCTGACATTTATTTCAGTTGCAAAAATACAATCACAAAATGGTGTCTATGGAGATTTGAAATTCACGCTCTATCAGTCTGTTTACTTGAAAAAATGTGTAATTTGTAAGGAGGCCTTTTAAAGCAGTATTTCAGACTGATGGAATGGGTTGGAATTATAATTCTGTCTGTCAAAGTTAAGTGCTTTATTTAGCCATGTGTCTCAGTTGAGATCTGGAGTGACCAATTCTTGCAGTGACTTATTTAGTTGTTCATACCAATGAAGCTGTGCTCATTTACCCAAGCTGAGGATGTGGCCTGATGTTTTTACAGTACAGCTCTCACTGTGGTAAAGGGTAGTTTGGTCTTTATTTTTAAAAGGTATTTAGGTACCTAATGATGCAGATAGGCACCTAGTGGGATTTTCCAAAGTGGATAAGTGAGTTAGATGCCTAACTCCCATTGATATCAATGGAAGTTAGGTACCTAATCTGCATCTTTAGGCACCTAAATACCTAGGGTCTATTCAGTCTTCAGATTCTCTGTAGGATATGCTGAAAAGGGTGCAAAATTTAGTATAAACTAAGATGGAGATTTTTTGAGTCACAGGCAACTATCCACTAGGAACTAAGCCGAAGGCCAAGTTCAGGAAAGCAGTTAAGCACATACATAAGCCCATCCCCATTTAGGATAACATTTAAGCACATGCTTAACATTAATGGTACGTTTAAGAGCAATTCACTTCAAGAGGACTTAAACACTGTCCTGAATTGAAGCCTGGGGTCATCAATGGCTTTCACAGACTCCAACGTTAAGGAAAACATGAATAGGTCATCTTATTTCTTCTTATTTAAATTGGATATTTGCTTGCAATTTCTGAATCTGAAGTAAATAGCAGAGATGGCATGATCACTCCATCACTCCCTGTGGTATTTCATTGATTCACTTCTCAGTTATTTATTTTATTAAATCTGGACCCAAACTTTCTTTATAACCCAAACTATTCAGGTTATATTTCATGAGATGCAAATGCCTAGTGATTCTCTCAAAATAAATATGAAGACGCGTTAATCAAAGATGAGAAAAAGCAGCTATTGCTATCACACTAATGCCTTGAATCTGTTCCCCTTGAAAGTCAATGGCAAAGTTAGCACTGATTTTTCAAAGGGAGAGGGATCTTTTTAAACTGTTCCCACTAGAGATTTCTAACACACAGTTCTATGGCTTGGGCCTTAAACGCCATCAGGAATAACAACATGCTCATGGGTTGGTCATTACAACTGGGATTGAACCTAGGACCTCTGGTTTAAAAAGCATGAGTTTCTACTGCCTGAGCAGAAAGGCATAACTCTGGTAACCAAGCTGCTGCTGCAGCAGCTTATCAACTTTTATATGCAGCCCAGCCACCACTAAAGGGAAAGTGAGTACCGCATGATGTGGATTATACAAGTAGGTAGGGGTGAACAAAGTGCTTAGGCTAAAAACAATGGCTGATGTTCCAAACGCAAACTAAGCCCCAAAAAAGTTCTTTAGAGATGGGGGAGGGGGAGAACCATAGTTCACTTAAAAAAAAATGGCAGTACAGTTTCTGGTCCAGTTTGGAAAGAGAAGTGCCAAAAATATAGGTCTGGGATTGTGACTTTTAGCACAGCCTTGGGCAAGAAGCAGTGCATAAATTGCACCAACCCAGGATTAGCCCTCCGTGGCTCAGACTGAGACATCCTCCCCCTTTGCTCCCATCTTTCCCTGCCTGCCTATTCCCACCCACTGGGCCTGCAGCACCTAGTAACCCTTCAGTTCCGAGATCCGGGTAGCCTGTGCAAAGGTTTAAGGGGGATTCTTCCTCCCCAGAACAGGCATTTAGTCCAAACCGCAATCCAGCCACACTGAAGAAAGCTGCACTTTGGAAATCTCTGATCCAGCTTTGCAGATCTTTGAAATTTAGAGAAGCATTCAAACTTCCTAGTTTGTCAGTGACGTGAACCCTACCTCTGGGGCTATATGGCCAAGAAACAAACCTTACTGCCAGTACCAGGGATTGAATGGCGACCATACACAGCACTTTTCATTCGATTATCTCAAACTACTTTACAAATATTAAGCTAACTATTTAAAGTATTTGGCTGCCCCTCTTTACCATAGTAGCTGAGAACCTTGTCATCTTTAACATATTTATTCTCACAACACCCCTGCAGAGTAAGGAAAGGCTTTTATCCCATTTTACAGATGGGAAATGGAAGCATGGACTAAGGGATTTATCTTGAAAGTGTAGAGAATTTAATCTGGGTGTCTCAGACCCTGGTCAGCACCCTTCCCACTAAACCATTCTTGTCTCCAGCCTTCTGGCTAAGGTAAACACCATATTATACTCCCATACAGCAGGGCAGATAGCAGCAAAGATTAAGGGCCTGGGGCTCATACTTGCTGAACAACCACACCTCCCTGATAATTAAGCCCAAGGGAGTATGGAGAGAAAGTGGAAGATCCAGAAAGTGAAACTAGGCACCCAGTCCAGCTCCCAGTAATGTCAATGGGGCATTTTTCCATTTACTCCAATAGAGCTGGATAAGGCCTTAGGTACCTCAGCTTGTAGTCCTGGGTGTCAAGCCAGAGGGAACACACAGCACTTCTTACAAACCTTCAGAGATGTACCTAACACTTCCCACCAATAGGGAAATATGGGAACAATCTCACAACACTAATCAGCATAATTATTACACGTCAAGGGAAGACTAAGCCAGAAATCCTGACAAAACAGGCCTTTGATGGAGAAAGGGACCAAATTCAGCTCTGGTGTAACTCCATGGGCTTCATGGAAGAACTGGAACCAATCTTATGCTAAACATGTGGATTCTTAAAGAAATAATTTAAAATTTCATTCAGGTTTATGTAAAATACTGACAAGACCATCACATTAATTGGAATGTATTACTGAAGGAATTTTTTTTTAATGCAAGGTGATAAGTGTGACATTTTCATTAATATCAGTCCAGGCTTTTTGCTATTATAATACAAATGGGTTTGAGGGGTGGGCACAGCTTGGGCATTAACCCATTAACTCTGTCATTGCTGTGATCTCAGCAGCAATAAATCTCAGTTGTATAGCAGCTAAAAGAGTGTAAACCAGTAAATGTTGGCTCATTTGGGTGCTATTAGGAACACTGGGGAAATCTGTGTTTGACCTTATTATTATTCATAATTTGTATTACTGCAGCACCTAGACAGTTCCAACTGAAAGCAGGGCTCCATTGTGCTAGGCACTGTACAAAAGCGGAGTAAAGGGACAGTCCATGCCCTGAAAAACAGACAAAGGAAATATGAAATGGGCAAATAATTCGCAGATCTAATAAGGGTCTTGCCCACAGCAAGTCTGTGACAGAGTTAGTAACAGAACCCAGCTCTCTTGAGTCTCAGGCCAGGTTCTTAACCACTAGGCCAGCTTTCTTACCCCATCTTTCTTAACATATTGCTTTTGGAACAATGCAATGGGCCTTCCTTCCCTCTGCCCCATAAACCATTATGCATCATAATCATGAGACCCAGCACACTGCTCATGCTTAAACACATGCAACTGTTTTGGAGAGATGTTGCTGGCTGGAAATTAGAAGGTTTCTAACCATCAGAGGAGTGCAGCTCTGGAACAGCCTCCTGATAGTTAGGTTGTTTGTCCCTACTATTACTAATTTTAAGATGGAACTTGATACATTTATGAAGACGATTGCATGTGGGGTTGCTTAATGACCTGCAAATCCCTTCCAGTCCCCACGTTCTGCTTCCAGCAGATTTATCAATAAGAAACCTCCCTCAGCAGGACAGAATCCTTCCAAGTCAAATGAACTTTTTGAACTGAGCACCATGCAAACCTGGTGCCAACCCCCAGGCGAGAATAGGTTATGTCCATTTATCTACACACATTAGTAGAGGTTGGAAGGGTATCCCTTCTTCCCTTCTCTCAGCCTACCTCTGCTATCTATAATTTCTATGGGGAAAGATGTACATTTACTGTCTGTCCTTTCTGTGTGTGCACTTCCTTTTTGTTTTTTTGTGAGCAGGGCAAGGAAGGGTTGGAGAAAAAACAGAAAGGGAAGATGGCGCTTGTCAATATTTACATCGACAGATTGCGGTGATAGAGAAATCCTATCGGGCCCACCCCCATGGCAAGGAGCGTGGGAATAGCAGATGTACTTTCAGCTGCAGTAACCCACAATAACACTCAGTAAAGTGGCATTTGGCAAGGTGGGAGAAACGTAAGGGACTCGATTGGCACTCTTCTCTGTTTATACTTTCCTTTTCCTCATCTAATGAAGACAGATGCACCCTACCAGCCAGCAGTGAAGGGGCCCTTTTCACATTCCGAGTATTAAGGAGTTAGTTTTTTTAATCTATAGTTTCTCTTCTTGCAGATAATTAATTGCCTATGGTTTTAACGCTACAACTGCCAATGGGTAAATCACAGAACAGTAAATGTTCCCCTGGCTAAATATTTACTATTTGCTTTGATTTCAATTTAAAAGGAAACAAAAAATTCCCTAATGAAAATCTTTATGCACCATAACTAATTAGATTTATGGTCTAAAATGACCACCACCTTTCACAGGGTCCACTCACCACGTGTGGCACCTTCTCCTAGTGGCTCTAGGGATTAGCTCTTGCCAGGCACTGCCCTCCTCTGGCGGTGTCTCTACCCGTCATCTCTTTCTCCCTGTGGCCCCTCTCACGCTCTGAGCTCCAACTTCTTGTTTGTGGCTAGGCCCTCCAGCCAAGTCACTAGGTTCCTCCCCTTTGGCAGAGCTCAAAGTCCTTCCAAACCAGCTGTCTGGCTAGCACTGCCAGCGCACCGTGCCACTTCCCAGGAGCTGGCAGGGGGACCCAGGCCTGCCCTCTACACTGGGTTTTTAAATGGTGATAACCTTTGGTCGTCTTCAAGCTGTTAGGAGTTTGCTAGTGGTGATGACTTCTGTGAATTGTGCTGCCACCCAGAAGTGCCCTCTTGGTCAGAGATGGTTAAGGAAGGCTGAAACAATTCCATCAATGCCAGCTGATTTTCCTGCTTTGGTTTCAGAGAGGGTACCATCAATCTCAGCTCTTGTGGAGGATTGACAGAGACTTGTTGAAGGGGCAGGATTCCTTAAGAGCTGTTTTCACCCCTTTTTTCATTTGTTGGCTTATGGTCATCTTTTAATTTCTTACTGGGAGGCTGGCAATGCTGTTTGCAGTGACTTCCAACATTTATGTGTGTGATGGTGCTGCAGAAGGGCCTATGCCTTATAGCTGGAGTCCATGAAGTCTGTGGCTTCCACCATCTCCAGCCATTGTTGTCATCTTGTATAATCTAACGATTCCAGGACAGCAGTCCAGGTCAGAGCAGCTTTATAGTCCCGTAGGAGCATTTCACTCTGTGGGCTCCAGCAAAGAAGCTCCTGTAGCTGGGAATATTCTTCTTTGAAGCTTTAATAAAAAATGTGTGAAGGGGTTGAAGTTTTTGGGCTTTGGTGGTATGCTGCTGATGGCTTTTAGATATCAGTGGAGAAACCCAGCCAATCCACCTGTCTCAGGTTCCAGCATGGAACTGGTAACACAGGTAATGATGGGGAGTTTGAGGCCACTGGGTACCACCACTGCCCTGTGCACAAAGAGGTCCTGGACAATCTGTGGTGCAATGAGTGGTGATCCACTGCAGTCTGTGGGCACAAAACATAAGACAGGTGTGTATTCTTTCTTCTGTCAGGCTGAGCAGAAGGTATCCTTTCATTTTGTATCAAACAGCAGGTACTGATGCCCCCTCAGTAAGCTGTTCACCTGCAGTGTTGTTCATCGAATAGTCCATTCTGTATGATGGCTGCTAAAATCACCAAGATGTTATTATAGGAGGTGTTATTTTGGTAGGAGTAAGGGCCCCGGATAGTTTTAGTTGATTTAGTTGGGGATTGGTCCTGCTTTGAGCAGGGGGTTGGACTAGATGACCTCCTGAGGTCCCTTCCAACCCGGATATTCTATGATTCTATGATAGCTGGGCAGCTTGTACACATTATACATTGTCAGCTCCCTGACTCAGATACCAGTGATGTATCTGACAGTTTCTGGCAGTGCTTTGGCTATGTGTTTTAGTTGTGGCCTGATGTAGGCAGCCATTCCAAGTCTTGGATGGTTTTGGGTGGAGAGAAGGACATATCTTGCTATCTTGAGGCATGCTGAGTCTTCTTCCGCAACATGTGTTTTTTGCATTGCCAGGACATTTATGTTATTGTCCATCAACTTTTGAACGAGATAGGCCCTCGGCATTAAATTGGCCTAGACGAATCAACAGGTCTGTTAGCTGATGAGTGTGGCTTTGAAAGAGTCTTTCTTGGAAAAGTTGCTATTTTGACTGGGAAGTTGACATATGATCGTTAAATCTGCAAAGTGGTGGCATTAGTTTGTACACATAGATTAAAGTGTACTTAACAGGGAGGACCACGTGAAGGTTGCCACCATCGCTCCCCATTGCCTTAGAAGTGAGGCATCTGAGACTGGTATCTTGAGGTACTGACTGATCCATTTGTAAAGATCCTGTCCCAGTTCACCTCGAAGGCTATGTCTACACTTACGTTGGCATGTCAAGTACAAGCACCAAACACGTAGCTGCACTCCACAGTGAAAGTTAGGCTGCATCCATACCTGTGGTGCATAACCACACGCTGCAGTGAAAGGCACCAGTAGGGGGAACTGACAGAGCCTTTCCCCACTGCCTCTCCGCTATCAGAGCCTTTCCCTGCTGCCAGAGCCTTTCACTGTGGTGGGAAAAGAGTCCAGCAGCAAGACACTAAACTGCTAAAAATAGCAGTATAGACATGGGAGGCACTTCTTGGGCATGTGGAGAGGCTGTATAGAGTCAGGGGGTTCAGGTGTGTAGGGCACTCTACAGTATTCACCTAAGCTGTGCCTCACCATCTATGCTGCTGTTTATACCCATGGTAGCTGAGTCTGTGGTGTTTATATTGTATATGCCAGCATATGTGCAGACATATCCCAAATGTGAATTTCCCTCTTTGGGGACTCTTGTTGTTTATACACAGTAAATTGGTTACCAACCTTGTGCTAAGGCCAACCCACACAAAAACGTCGCGGAGTACTCACAGCCTTTCAAAAGTGGTGTCTATAGTGCTAGAAAAACTGAAAAGGACTTGCCAGTAGCTCATCAATGGATGGATAAAGTTTGCTTCTATGCAGAAGATTTGTGCATTAAGTAAATCCCACTCATGCTCCATTTTGAAGGCCTAGGTGGCACCTAGACCTTGAGGAGAATTGAGCTCTGCACGGGGGTGAATTCCACCCCATGAAATTACTAGAATAAGAATCAGAGATTGAGGTTAGCTTTTTGGGGCAGGGGCCATCTTTTCATTCTGTGTTTGTATAGCATCTAGCACTGTGGGGTCCAGGTCCACGAGTGGGGCTTCTATACACTGCTACAATACAATACAAATAAATAAATAAATTGTCAAATTAATCCCTGGCATAACTCTACTGAACAACTTGGATGAATTCCAGAATTCCATCTGGCTCAAAGTCTTCATTAATAAAAGGTAATGCAGATGTTCTCCAGCCATTCATTTGTTCATCTCTTTACCTTTTTCACTTCACATCTTTCTTTTCCCCTTGTCAAATTTAGTACCTTGGGCACGCATAAAATCCATTACTGATCTGCAACCGGTGTGAATGTCACGTTCGGTCATTGATCATCCAGCTAAGTGTTGTATCAACCAGGCAAGGTACTAACCAACTTCAACAGGACTTTATTTTTAAAGTGGAAACCTCTTTATCAAGCTGCTGCTGCACCCTCTGTAACTCTCACTCTGCCTCCCCAACTCCTCCCGCCTTCTTCCTGTTTCCTGTCCTTTCAGACTCCCAACAGCCAGTGCTCCCAGTTCTAATAATTACAAGCAACATCTAAACACCACACTAAGGTCACTAGGAGTTAGCAGCCATGATCGACCAATGCTAAATACCATCAGCTACGAAAGCTAGTTTTATACAGGGAATAGAAATATGAGAATACCATCATGGGCAACAGAACAAGCTGTGTGGGGTGAGTCATGGAATGCATCTCAGGGGATTTGGATCCGCATAAGTTGCATCATTGCTTTCTTACAGGGTCATTCAGAGAGACTCTTTAATCCCAGATCACTACTGAAGATATAATTTTTTTACAAGCAATTTCATAAGTACCGCAGTAAACAGGAAGAAATAAACAGTTTTAATTTTCTTGTGGTAGAAGAGGGGAAAACTATGCTTTCTGCTTACTTACGCAGTAATGATCCATTCTGAGGTCTCTCGCTTAGCTGGCTCTCACCCACAAGCAACTATGATTCATCGCTGAGATAGGAATAACTCTCAAAGCAGGATTGGAGCTGAAGGGGAAATAATTTAAAGCAATAAGTGACTTTAATTAAAAGGCCAAACTAAGAGTCTTTTTTTCTCCTTTTACTTTTGAGGAGCTGAGTGTAGGGGTCTGCATTTCTCCTTGTGTGACACATTCATTCTGATTTTCAAGATCACAATTGCAGATCACAGAGCTGAGACAGTGCATGTTGGGAGCTCAGGACATTCCAAGTCAATCCTCCTGTGCTACAGACTTCCAGAGGAAATCAGGCAAATCCAGTGTGTGACTGTTTTCAGACAATACTGCAAAACCTTTCTCTAGGTCACAGGCCTTTCCACCAGAATAACACCACTTACTGTATTGACGCTCCTTTTTACCCCAAACTCCCTAACAGGCAACCAACCAAACTGAAACAATTCAACCTATTACCCCCCCCCCCAAAAAAAAACCCCAATAAGGAGTAAATAATAAAAGTAAAATCAATACCCTAAACAGATTTTATCCCAAGCATGAAATAGTGAGCGTGATGTTACAAGGAACTTTACTATTGCTATCAATTTTACATGGAAAGTGCTCAAATGCTAGGGTGATGGACAGCAGTAGAAAACCCTAAGATAGATATTAAATTATTTCTAATGTCTTGGTTTCTGCAAAGCCCTTTGCATTCCCTTTCAGTTGCCCTTGGGGTAGGTGAACTTTCTGAGAAGAGAGCTTGTGCTGACCACAGCCCTGCTACCTTTTTTCTAAGATAGCCTGGGAGGGGATGTATATAGTGGTCTGAACAAGAGACTGGGATTTCCAACTCTTGTGAGCAGATTCTCAAGAGAACTCAGAAACCAGAAGTTCCCGTTTGGCCGCAAAGGGTATGTCTACACAGCAATGTGAGCCTCTGCTGGAATCTGGGCTCCAAGCTAACCCACCTTGCATCTACACTGCAATTGCCCTAACCCAGAGCTCAGAGCCAATGTCCCAGGACCCAGCAGAGCTGGAGGGTTCAAGATTGAATCAAGCTGGGACCTAGAGTCCAAGCCCTATTGTTTTGCAGTGTAGCCACAGCCCTGCTTGACTCAGGCCCCGAGCATCATCCGGAAGTATCCCATGATTCCATGGGACAACTTCCTTAGTCCTCTCTATCCCAACTGTCTGCAATCCACTCTATTGAAAATGGAAGCCCATTCCCCCCTACCATCGCTCTTGGCAAAGGGCAGCAGCTCAGGTCAGCGATAACCCATTCCATTCTGATTGCCAATCTGCAAGCATGCTGTCGGAGAGACTCATGGGTTTGCAATGGAGAGCGAACCTATTGAGCCTTTTGCAAAGTGAGAGGCTTCCTGGTAACATGCAGGATGGGCATAAACATTTTCTAACAATGCACCATGTTCCTAGGGCTAGGGAAGCCACACTTCAAGCTGGGGGGGGAGGGCAGTAGGAACTGTGGGATATGGTTACTTTGACTAAGGTCTGTGCACTGCAGTGTGGAGGCCAGAGCTCTAGGTTCAAGCAAGGGTCAGCAAATTCTTAACCTAGGGTTCAAATACAATGTAGACACTGAAGCCAAGGGTTCCATAATACAGGTCAGCTGACTTGAGTCCCACTAACTCTGGGCTTACATTGCAGGCAGACACACCCTAAAGAGTCCTTATTCCTAGGTGTGAAGAGTGGGACCAGCTGGGTGCTGTGTACTTTTGAAAATACAGCAAATTCATTTAGGTGCCTAAATGGGATATGGGCTCTTCTGAAAATTAGGACTCTGGTTTCTATTGATTTGTGTGGCCTTGGGAAAGTGACCTAAGGTTTCTGTGCTGCAGGTCTACACATGTGTAAAATATGCACAGTAATATCTTCCACCCTAATGAAATAATTACTTAAACCTCACTACACCAGGAATTTTCAAAAGTGCTAAGCAGTTAGATGCCCATTGCAAATCAATACAGGTGCTCTTGAAAATCCCACCCTTAAGACACTATGATATTGCTATGCAATGATCAGTCACAGACCTGGTAGAAGTTGATGAGTTTACTCAGCATCCTTCGTTCAAACTCAATGGGGGAGCAATTAAACACCCCTTTATTTAGTGATAGCTGAAACAATAGAAGCCACCACCCAAGGCACAGATTAATGTGACCAACCCAGTTGAGTACCAGCTGAGCCATCTAGCCTGAGGTTTCCCTGGACATTGATTGTCAACACAAGGGGTGAAACATTTATTTGTTTGCAGCTATATATGTGAACCAAACCAAAAAGCATGGATGAAGTGAACAGACAGGAGAAATCAGTGTGAATCTAAGAGGAAGGCAAGAGAGTGCTTCGTTTGGGCAAAGTTCTCACTCTGAAGGCAAGTTTGGATTTCTGAACATGAAAACTGTCTCCTGTCACTTGTTTCTAATGTGTTCAAGGAAACAGGCCTTTGTTTACATTCTTTGTAAATGAGGAGTATTGCACCAAAGAAATACCTGACTGCTACCATCAATTTCTCGTCCTAAGGGAGACAATCCAGCAAGGTTGTGAATATTGGATAACTGCTCAGGTTAAAAGGGGCAACAATATTATTTATACAAATCCCCTTCGATGGTTTTATCTTCAATTTTTATAGCAACTTTACTGCTATGATCACAGCATATCAACTGAACCTAGGATGTCCAGGAAGTATAGCTAATAAACTGTTCTTTATCGTAAGAGAGACATTTCATCCCCAGAACGCCTGACATGCCTTCATTTCTCTCAAACTCTGCCCTTCATACATAACATAATCAGAGGAAGCTCAAAAGAGGCCTTTCCTGCATAAAGAGAAATTCCTATGTCACATTTATGGGATAAAAACTTGGCATTTTAGTAGCTTAGGATAATTTGAAACTTCTTGCCAGATCATGTAGTGGGATGCTTTAGAAATGCCAGCTTACTCTAATCACTCTGACATTTCCAATCATTACAGTGCATTGTACTTGAGTAATGTGAAATCCATTTATATAAAAATTGGAAGGAAGAGGCGCTTCTGCATCCCACTGAGGGGTAAAAATACCATCTCACTCTTTTTTCCTCTTTATATAACAGCAATGACAAAAGATATCTCTTATATAATTTGGCTTCTCCAGTTTAACTGAGCCATTCATCTGCA